CAAAAAAGGTTGGGAACCACTGCTTTACAGGTTCACTCTGTGTTAGAAAAATCTCACTCCAGTTTGAGCTTCAATCTCAGGATCCATGTATCTGTGATCCTCTCCAGAATGGAAGTAGTCATCACACACAGAGCATCAACTAGTTCCTGAACAGTGTCCTTCACATGCTGATATCCAAGAGAGGGAGTTCCACAGTCACAAGATGGAGGAGTACCGGTTCATCTAGTAATCATACATCCTGTCATGTACAAAATACTGACTTTTTCTCAAAATCTCAAAATTCTGACTTTTTCTATAAATTCTGACTTTTCCTCAAAATTCTTACTTTTTCTCAAATTTCTTACTTTTTCCTCAAAAACTCCAAATTCTTACTTTTTCCTAAAAAACTCAAAATTCTTACTTTTTCTCCAAATTCTTACTTTTTCTCAAAATTATTACTTTTTCGCGAAGTCTCAAAATTGTTAATAATCACTGTTTCCCGGCTTGAGCTTCAATCTCAGGATCCATGTATCTGTGATCCTCTCCAGAATGGAAGTAGTCATCACATACAGAGCATCAACTAGTTCCTGAACAGTGTCCTTCACATGCTGATATCCAAGAGAGGGAGTTACACAGTCACAAGATGGAGGAATAGAAAGCAGTATTCAATGTTTACTTCAGATTAGCTCCACGTCAGAAATGATCATGCTTGTCATGTCTCTCTCCATAGAGGCTGAATCATCATGTTAATCACATAGCTATCATATGCCTCAAACAGTCCTGATGCTCTTCTAGGTAATCACACATCCTGTCATGTTCACAGCTACAGTTGGGATACCTTTGTTACCATGTTACTCTCAGATTGGAAGATTACATTCAGTATTTTCCCAACAGTTTTCCTACAAGATGTTGACAAAAGCACCAAAAGATTTAAACAATGTTATCTTTGTCTCTGTAGCCTTCCTCTCAGGTTCTGGGTGAACGTGATAAAGAACCCTCAGTTTGTGTTCGACATCCATAAGAGCAGCATCACGGACGCCTGTCTGTCGGTCGTCGCCCAGACCTTCATGGACTCCTGCTCGACGTCCGAACACCGGCTCGGAAAAGACTCTCCATCCAACAAGCTGCTTTACGCTAAAGACATCCCCAACTACAAGAGCTGGGTGGAGAGGTAGCGAGCAATGAGATAATTAACTGTAATACACAATGTAATAATAGCATGGAGAGGTAGCTAATGGTAAACAGCAAAACAATTGTAATACACACATAACAACTGGATGCAAAGGTAGCTTTCATGCTAACTAGTTGCTCCACAGGAAATGAATGCAGAGGTACCTAGCATGATAACCAGTTAATATTCTGTAATATACAATGTAATAAAGGCATGGATAGGTAGCTAATATGCTAACCAGTTAAGAATTCTACAAATGTTCGGTGGAAAGAAAGCTGACAAACGTAAACAGCTAAAATAATTGTAATGCACACATAAGAACTGGATACAAAGGAAGCTTTATGCTAACTAGTTAATAACTCCAGAAGAATTGAATGCAGAGGCAGCTAGCATGCTAACCAAACAACAGGAGCCAGATGGATACTTAGCTTACGTGCTAATTACCTAAACTACAACAACAGCAAGAGATCTAACCGTCATCAAGCTGTTACATAAACACAAACAATAAACAAGTACAAAACTGAGTGCAATCTCAGCTAACATGCTAAATAAGGAGCTACATGAAGAGGTAGCTGACCTGCTAACTAGTTGATGAAAATACGTTTTAGACACATAAATGAAATTAATCATATTAATTAGTGTTGACTTATAATGCAATTGCAAATTTGCTAATTTCTCTTGGGTAATTCTCTGGGAAGATAAACAAAAGAAACGCGTTAGCTTGTTGACATAATTAGAAACAAGTTTAAAGTTATTGACCTCCATGTGTGTGTCCTGCAGGTACTACAGGGATATTGCGAAGATGCCCAGCATCAGTGATCAGGACATGGACGCCTACCTGGTGGAGCAGTCCCGTCTGCACGGCACCGAGTTCAACACACTGAGCGCACTCAGTGAGCTCTACTTCTACATCAACAAGTACAAGGAAGAGGTGAGAGGGGGGGCTTTTACTTCTTTCTTTATGTCATTAACAATGTTAGGCATCAGCGTCATGAGTACATGTTAGATGGTAATGCTGCATTTAAACTGAATCAGACGACATGGCTCGACTCGTTTTTTGGTTTTTATTTGCAAATGTTCTGAATAGTACCTGGTACGTTTCTTGGTAACACCCTGGTCGAATTACAAAGTGATTTGATACTAGATTGTGGAGTTAAAACACTTCAGACCAACTTAAATGGTCTAGAATCTTGAAGAAATCTTAGCGTCAATAGTGTTTTTTTATTCAAAAGAACCAGATTGAATCAGTGATGTTAGAGACATATTTAGTGAAGTCCTTATAATAATTGTAGATCCTTGTTTAATCTGCTTTGTCTTTTCTCTGTCTCTGCAGATCCTGACAGCGTTGGATCGGGACGGGTACTGTCGCAAACACAAACTGAGGCACAAACTGGAGCAAGCCATCAACCTGATGTCTGGGAGCAGCTGAGAGGAGAGAATGGACTGAAGGACTGATGGAAGGATTGGGGGGTGGGGAAGAAGAATGGAGGAGGGGGAAGTGAAGACATTTTGTTTTTCTGAACTGTCTAAACAGTCAGCTGAACTGCTCAGTGTCGGACCGAACTGACGGCCACAGCTTCGGCCCTTGAGCAATCAATCCATCAGCAATTTATTTCTCGATTGATTGATTGATTGATTTGAAGACTGATTACCTGGATGGCTGGGACCCCAACTATCTCCGTTCGGTGGGTTTTGGGGTTGAAAAATCAGTGTCCAAACCGATTTGGATACATTTACAACGTGACTTCAACGTGGAATGGAGTCATTTTGGGTCAAAAACGATGCAAGATGCACCTGTCGGTTTGGATTTTCAATTTAAATTAACTGCAGGTTGTAAGCAGGGATCAAAGCAAAAGGGGCCTGGCTGTGGAAAGACATGGAAACTAAGCTAAAGACTAAGTTAGGTTTCACCAAACAACGGATGTGACATGAGGACTTATCGACCTGACATCAGGATTCCCAGCCTGGTTGGGAAAATTCTAGATGCTAAGTTGAAAAGCAATAGGTCTAGTCAAGTTTCTGGACTTCACCTTCAAAGCTTGTTCTGGTCCAAAGGATCAGGAAACTAGGCTGATGGTCAAGGGGTCATGGTAAAATCGCAAAAGCCTCATCGTAGTCCAGACGAATCCGGGCTAAATGTCAAAAGGTCAAGTCAAGGCTCACCGCAGAAGTCCGAAGCCTCGTTACTGATGTCGTGAATCCTTAGCCTTGAATGGTAGGAATCTGATCAACCGTCAAGGAAGGAATCGTCAAAGTCAAACTTGTTGTTTCGAGCTTTAACGAAGGGGAAGGAAGCAAATAAACTGATGTCCCTATAACTGATAACTTGAGTTTACCTTGGAAAAACTGCGTAGTCTCCAAAGATGTGAATTCACGGTGCAAAATAACAGGAATTCATCTTTGGAGATAAGGAACCAAGGAGCCGGGACACTTTGACTTGACCTTGGACTGTTCGGCCAAGCCTCGTCAGGATCTAGGAGTTTCGAAGTTGCTGTATAACCACCCAATGTTTTCTCTGGACAATCACTCTTTACCACAGCACACTGAGCCCAATGCCTACCGACCGCCAGTACCTGTGTCCATAATCCCGTCCCTTTCCTTTTCCTTTCCTTCATCCTCAACTCTTAGTACTTTACCCTTTCTTCGTTTTGTCTTCTTCTCTATCTTCCCTTCTCCCTCCATTCTGACTAGTTCCCTCTATCACCCCACTTTTTAATTTCTCTTCCCCCTTCCAACCCCTCTCCGTCATTGGTCAGTGATGCTGGCCTCTGGTCATCCTATTGGCCACGAAGACTCTTTAGTAATGTACTGCCCGACCAATCAAGACTGTGGAATTCGCCAGAATCATGAAAAGTGAATATATAAGAAATTAATCCAGAATTACGTTTTGAATACATTCCAGCACAGGCACACAGGCAAGGTCTGTAAATAAGCAGGTTGACTCGCTAATTCTTCGCTAAAACAGAAGAACTTCTGACTGACCGACATTTTTTCAGGACCAGAACAACCTGGATATTTGGGTTCTGGATTCAGCACCAGTCGGTACACTTTGACGCTGGTTGGTGCAGAACGCTTTATTGTCGGACCTTGCACATACACCCACATACAGCCATGCTTTACAGCGCCATGCTAACCGTGCCCAGGGGGAAATACTGTGCAGAGCTACAAGCCCAGTGCCATGTAAAGACCGGACCGGATCACGTCAGAACTGGACCGGACTTGGACCAAACCCGGATCAAAAACAACCTGGAGTTTTAACCCGGACCGTAACTCAAGAACTTTGAAGACTTGTGGCCATAATTGTAAACAAAAACAAAAAAAGAAAGATGATAATAATAATAATAATGATGATAAAGTATAAAAGTTAAAAAAGAATACAAAAAGAAAGGAAAAAAAAGAAATATTGAAATGTTAACATGTAATAAGAACTTTGTGGATTTGACAGTATGGATTTTAAGGAGCTGAACTTGTATAAAGCTGAACATTATGCTACATCAGAGTCTGGAGGAAGAGAGACAGCCAGGAGACAGAACAATGGATCAAACTAAGTCCATCTTTATGCCTTCAAACCGGACTGAACAGAATCAAACTGGATTGTTACCGGACTGAACTTGAAGGAACTGAATATCTGCTCTGAATGTCAACGTTGGAAGAACAACTTGGACACTTTCTTTTACCAAATGGGATGTTTGTTTGAACCGAACAGAGCAGTGTTGGATGGAGGGTTAGTTTGGAGGTTTTGGTGGGGTTTGACGTTGCATGTGTCGCCTATAACGAAGTCTTTGTTTTGATGATTTCTTGTACATCCTAGAGCAGGGGTGTCAAACTCAAGGCCCGGGGGCCAAATCCGGCCCGAGACTTCATTTAATGTGGCCCGCATGCAAAGAATATAATACGTTTATTATATGGTTACATTGCCACTTTACAGGAGCACGTTGCCCATAAAGTGGCCTACATGTCCCACAATGCATCTTGTTTTGTGACATGCTCACTGAAGAGACTTGCAATTATTTGCCCTAGACTTCTGCTTTCAGACGTAGTTAATTATTAAGTTATTACCCTATCCGATAATAATCCAATGCACAGGAAATTATGTATTATATAATACATTATTTTATATATATTATATATTTATATAGTCCTAAAGTCACAACCGGCCCTTTGAGTGCAACCATAATTCTGATGTGGCCCGCGAATACATTCAGTTTGACACCCCTGTCCTAGAGGCTAATGAGGGCGCTTTCACACTGTCTGCCAATCCTACAAATGTTTACCTTAAAACTTGCAAATGTTTTCTGCAGATGAGGGAATTGTACCTCAGTCCAACCATCTTGATGCTCGTCATACGGAGGTTGGATTATACGTAACGCAAAAAACTGACTACAGTGTGAAACGCTCTTATTCTCTGACTGAAGGATGGTTGGATTGTTGGATAGAGGACTTTCAAACCTGGCAACGCTGCACCCCCCTTCAACCTTGTGTTTCTGTGGTAGAACATTTTCGCTTCACACAACTTATATTTATTGTTCAGGGTTTTATTTTGGGGTCAACATTTGTCAAAAGTAAAGTTTAACAATGATAATTTACCTTTTTGAGAAAAAAACTAGTTTCTGCTCGACAGGGCAGTTTGAGTCGCCCAAAAGGTTTCTTTAAATACATTTTATTCACGTAACATTATGCAGCATAGGATTCAAATGTCAAGGCAATATGTCATGTGCAACGAGGCGGGCTACCAGTACATTTCTTGAAATGATAAAGCCTTCTCTTTGATTTCATTTCAGAATAATCCAAACGTTTATTTCAAAAATGAGAATCTGTGGGAAGTGCAAACACAAATCATTGAATAATTGACCGATCTTTGTGCATGGTTTGCCAATCCATGAATATTTCCACATGAATTACTTAATGTTTCTCACCACATGACCTCCTCTGAAGAAATGTGAACCATCTCTAGTGAAGGCGTTAAAAGCACCATCAGACTCGTTGGTTGATGTGTGAAAATGTTCCACCACAGCGTCTGTCTTTTGGCTCTCTGCGACGCCATAAAGCTACAAAGCACCTTTGATTTTCATTTTTCTTGCTGTTGTTTCACTGTCGTTTGAACATTTTGGGGCCAAAACGACCCGAATGAAGAAGAAGAGAAGGATTATGGAGGAAGGGTCCTGAAAAATAAGACTGCCTTTGAAGATGATTAATTATAGAACAGGGAGGGAAGCCACTACCATACCAATACCACTGTGTGTGTGTGTGTGTGTGTGTGTGTGTGTGTGTGTGTGTGTGTGTGTGTGTGTGTGTGTGTGTGTGTGTGTGTGTGTGTGTGTGTGTGTGTGTGTGTGTGATCCTGCTGCAGTGGAAACTCAACCGTTAAATCACTGATGGTATCGGCAACTCAATTAAAAATAGTTTTCTTTACAGTCGCACCGTTTCAATCGGACGATCGGTATCTTCAAAGCTTTCCAAATCTCAGATGGGATCTTCGCTGTCCTTTTTAAAAAATGGTTTTAAATAAAAAAATCTCAGATCGCCCTTTAAACCCAAAGTCGCCAAACACGTTTTGGATTATGTTCTCGGCGCCATTTTGATAAAAATATTACCTTTTTTTTCTCTGTATAGGATGAGATGTGAGTTTAGGGGAGTCAGCATGCAGGACGAGAAACGAGAGAAAATCCCAAGAGGAAAACGTAAAGAAAAGGGAGGATGCATAGGAAACGCCTGCTGCATGCTGAGAAGTGAGGAAGAGGAGCGTGGAAAATAAATAATTACTATTTCAATGCAGAGAGGAGAGGAAGAAGAAGAAGGGCCGAAAGGTGAAGCAGAGGAACTAAAACAGATCAATTGCAGAGAGGAGAAATAAATATTGGAGTATAACACGGGAGGATCAGGATGAAAAGAGGAGGTCAGGTTCTCTTTTGGCATGCTAAAGTGAGAGGAAGGAGGACGAGGAGATGCAGTGTGAATACTGAGAGCAGGAGAGAGGGAGAATACTGATCAGGGGGGAGAAAGACTGAGGCAACGTCATCCATCAAAACCGGCCGAGAAAGGAAAAGGTCTCGGAAAGGAGGGAGGAGAGAAAGGGAGGAAGGAGAAACGGGGAGAGATCTGCAGAAAGAAGTCTACAGCAAACGTCTCAGTCTGATCAACTCAGAATATCCTTTAAAGAATGTCTTTCTAATGACTTCAAAACATATCAGACAGGTTTAAAGAAGCAAAACGGTGGTGCAGGATTCACTTCTTAAACAGAAGCGGTGGCCAGAAGTTATGTTCAGAAAGCTGCTGCTATTGATCCACATTTTCAAACCCTAATGTGTTTTTGCTACCACCAAAATGTAGAGAGAACTGCCAACTTATAAGAGCATAAACATTAGACTTTTTATCATTGATATCATTCGGTAAAGAAAAGGCATCATCGAAAATCAACATCCACTTTTTGATCAGATACTTCCTGGTTGAAATATGTTCACAGTTGTATTAAGATTTCTTGCAGCGAATTGAATTAAAACAACATTTAGGATTGTTTTGTTTGTAACCTTTTCTCAAATGAAGGTGTCTTCAAAAGTACTCAGGTCATATCCGCATTAGTAGCTTAATCTTTTCCACTATACACAGCTCCAATCCATATTTCTCTTACAGTATATCTGTAAATCAGTGGCCGTTTAAACTGTTTCTCTGTAACAAATGTTGTGAAATCTGAGAAACTGAAATGTTTTCGGTTCGCTCTGATCTCCATCCTGATACCAGAGAAAGGAAACCTCCGTAATACACTTTAAATTCGTCCGGAACAAATCGATGTTTGGATGCTTTTCCACTGTGTGTGTGTGTGTGTGTGTGTGTGTGTGTGTGTGTGTGTGTGTGTGTGTGTGTGTGTGTGTGTGTGTGTGTGTGTGTGTGTGTGTGTGTGTGTGTGTGTGTGTGGTCTCTATACACATACACACATTTAAAAATCATATCCATCCTTTGAACACACACACACACAGTTGGGAGGAGGTAACTGAGACTGAAGGCCGGATGGAGGGCTGGGGGTAATTCCTGGAAGAGCAAAAAAAAAAATTGGATTGATACCTCGTTTTAGACGCAGTGTCCATCCATCTGTCCACACACACACACACACACACGGCTCAGAGTTTTTAACGTTCTCCAGCGATGAGATATTTATTGATTATTTTCTTTTAATTTATTTTTTACGATGAGTTATATTTATTGTGGGAGGATGTTTATTAGCTTGTACAGCGTTAAAGAGAGAGAAGAGCTCGATGTCATACTTTTACTGCATAAACACACACACATTTGAACACACTTCATGTTATAATACGTCCGTGTGCAGGCTGGGAAATGACCACCAACTCTGTAACACTATCCTGTTGTTCAGAAGTGTCGACTAGTTTTGGTTTTCACCCTAAATTGTAAACACAAATCCTAATTTAGGTCTTTCTATGTGAGTTACATTGATAGTGATAAGAAGAGTGATACGAAAACTTTGTGTGTTCACTTTTTTGCGTCTGTTCTGGCTCTGGAAAACATTTGAATAGAAACCAGATTCAAAAACAATCCGAAGTAGAGCTTTAATCTGGTCGTTTCCCATCCTTTCCATTTTCAAATCCATCCCTTTTTCCAATCATTTAGGAGTCAAATCAGTTTGATTAATGAAAATCATCCATCGGAGGATTTGTTTAAATCTTACGACGACTCTGACTTCCAATCCAGACGATGTTTCAGGAGTTAATAAGCAGAGAGGGGAGCGGGAAATATGGTTCTCCCATCGAAAATCAATCGAGCTAAACTCATCTCCCATTGGTTTCAAAAAAGCTTTTTTCTAATCTCCCTTTGGAAATACATTTAAGTTGATGTAGGTGACACATTTTTATTTGAACAGAAAACCCAAATTACTCTCTTAATTGATACATTTTGAATTTTAGGAATCTCCAATTAAACCAATGGTGCCATTGACTTTAAGTGGGCTCCCATTGGATAAGATCGATGCTATGAAGTGGATTTTAAGGATTTTCCCATTTCAAACCAATGGTATCTCCATAAATGTCCCTTCATCAACAAATTAAGAATAGTGCAACTCGCTTTTATAATCAATGGGGGCTTCTTCCTAATGGAACAAAAACAACCTCCCATTGACTTCCATTGAGCAGTTTGTAAACAACATCTTATATCCATTAAAAATACCTCTCATTGGAAAATAAGTTGAACATTTATGTGATCCTAGCTATAAAATAATTTCCTCACATTGGGATGGTTTTAACCTTTAAGTAATCCTTCATTTTAAATAATTGGTATTTGCATTTACGGGAGTCTTGTACAACCACCATGTATCTGAAGGTCACAGTTTTATCCCTCTGGAAATCAAAGACTCCTTGATTTCATGGGAAATCAGGATCATTTAATTGTACACCAATGGGAGATTAAACTCAATGCTTTGTGGATTAGTGGTCAGAACATGTTTAGTCAGACGGAGCTTCAGTTATTACATTTAGACTAAGATGACTACCCGTTAAAAAATCAATCTGATCTTCCATTGGAAATCTATGGGAGTTGACTGAGTCCGCCCCCTTCATTAAGCCCCTCCCAGCTCTGCAGACTCCTGACACACGATTGGTTGACTGACAGACGAGTCGAGCCGACAGCCCATCACAGCGGGCGTCATTGTATCATAGCAACAGCAAAATCACTGGACTCCCCACGGAGCTGAAACGGGGAGTCGGATGATTTTATTGTACCATAATATAATTATTATTACTGTCATTATGATTATTATTCTCAGCCGGTGCTTCTCTGCTGCAGCAGGATCCGGATCCTCTACGTTCAAATTAACTTTGTCCGTAAAGCACTTTTCTGAACAAAGTACCGGGTTTTAAATGTCGCCA